TATTATTGTGGTAATATTTTGATGGTATTATTCTTGTAGTACTACGATACTTTTAAGGTAATATTGTTGTTACATCTCGGTGATATTATTAACGTACGAATGAGGTTTCCGGTGTGGTTGTATTATAGTGTTATTATGGTATTATTGTGGTAATATTTTGATGGTATTATTCTTGTAGTACTACGATATTTTTAAGGTAATATTGTGGTTACATCTCGGTGATATTATTAACGTACGAATGAGGTTTTCGGTGTGGTTGTATTGTTGTCTTATTATGGTAGTATTATGGTATTATTGTGCTTTAAGCATATTTTTCCAAGGAACTGCATTTTATCACCGCAATAATCAGTATTAACTGGAAGAACCATAGTTTTAGAACATGGAAAAACAACCGAGAAATCCTAATAAACCCTAATAAATTCTAAATAAATAACTGCATTTTATCAGAGTATTGTTTAAAATTGCATTTCGAATAACAAATTTTTTAGAAGAAGAAAAAACAATAAAAAAAACCAAATATACCTTGCGGAACCCTCTTCAGCAACCTTCCTCTTACGATCACTGGTTTTTTTCTTCGAATGCATTTTTGAAGGCTCATCTTTGGTTTCCATTGGCATTGGCTCCTCGACTTCGACTGTCGTCGGGTTCTCCTCGATTTCCATCTCAGAAGGCTCGGCTTCCATCTTGATCAACTGTACTCTAGCGGTGAACTGAGGAATGTACTTCGACCGGCGAACGAACGAAGACTCAAAACCCTCAACAAATGGCGAATGGCAAAATTGGTCGTGCATCTATCGATTTTGCTCCGAAGTTCTTTTTTGATAGACGTTTCAAATTCTGTTCTTTCAATTAATTAGGTAACTATCGGACAGGAGTACAGTCGGGTCCCACGTGATATAAAATTAATAAAATTTCAAAGAACCCTCAGATGTTACCATAATACAACCATACTGATACTCCGGTAAATTAAAACATAATAAGGCAACATTAAAACCACGGTAACACTGTAGGGCACCAAAAAATTTACGTCGGAAGTAATTCCATTAATACCACCACAATAAAACTCAAATAATACCACAATACAACCATATATATATATCACCACGTTGTTGCTAAACAGATAAGTTAATAATACGCCAATCACCTCGCAATAAAACAATATACTACATAACGAATAATATATAAATAATATAATAATACCACAATATTACAACATGTCGAATAAGCATAACGATGCATATAACAATAACCACCGTATAATACATAGTATGCGGCGAAACAAGGGCCAGGGCGCTGACATGTAGTTTTTATTGTTGATTGATAGACAGTCAAACAATCATTCTAATATATGGTCAAAGGTTGATTGAGAGGAAGTTTCAGGCTCTTCGCACATCTAAAATTGACCGAGTTATATAATCTTATGACAATGGTGATGATGTGATCTGTATCAAGTAATTCGTAATGGGTTAGCTAAAATGTGGAAACAGAATAAAATGTTATTGCAAGTTATGTTGTTCTGCACTTCTTAAGTCTGGTTCACCTGACGGAACACCATTCACATTAGACTGGAGAAGTCCAGAACATCAAAACTGACAATTACATTTTGTTATGTTCCCACAATTTAACAAACCCATTACGATTTACTTGATACAAATCAAATCTTCAGCGTTGACATCAGATTATATAACTCAATCAACTTTAGATGTGCGAACAGCTACTGTTTATCGATCAAGATTATATGAATCACAAAATAACTCCATCTCATTGCCTCCGAGAAATCAGAAAACTCTCCATCAACATATCTCCATCTCAAAGAACAGTACTTTGCTTGTTCGCCCATCTTCCT